TCCACGAAAAAATTCAAATAAAACCCTTAAGTCTTAATTTTGGTTAAGTATAGATTTTATATGAAATTCGAGTAGTGAGATAGATTATTGATAAATTATCTAGCTTAACTGTAGTTGTTTGAAGAGTCAAGCCCTCGACCTACATACTTATTTTGTGTGCGACATTCTACCACGATTTCCAGGTGGGTTTATTTATGAAATTGCTATGCCATGATTAATCGATGTTATAATGTATGGTGTGATCAATGTATGCATGTGAACCATGTAACCTTCGATGTGAGCGTACCAGCTGTCGAATGGTTATCCCCGTAGATATAGAACGGACCCCGTGGGGTAATCTCCTCTTTTCGTCCTTGCGAAGGGTGCGTCGCCTATAAGACCAGGGCATAAGTTCTCGGCCGAAAATCAGTACCTCGATGTAAGCCCAAGGCAGAAACCTTGGCCGTTGGGGGAGACTCCTACTATCTGGGCATCGATGTAAGGCCTGAGTGAAGGCATTCGAATCGTAGATCAACAACAATCTATCGATATAGGTGTGCACATGAGAACGAACATGGGATAGGAGATGGGATAGTTGATTGATTCTTATACATGTTGCCACCATACCTGTCTTATATTATTTGTTATTTATGTGCATAGTGGTGAGCACCACGGATTCCATATTGTGCTCACCCCCACCTGCTCTTCACGGATGCAGGTTAAGCAGGTTGCGCACACGGCGAGGCAAGGCGAGTGGTGGTCGGTCTTGATGACTAGACCATTGATTGTATTGCTTCCGCTATTTGAGTTTATTTATGATTTATGACTTGGGATATTTATTAACTTGGGATATTTATGTTTTGAAACATTGTTCGGGTAGATGCCCCGTTGACACTATGATGTCTTTATTTTGGAAATTTGGAAAACCCGATTTGGGTACTTATGACTTGGGATGAAACCTTTGATAAGGTATTGAAATGTGTTTTGATGTCATTGCTACGACTACGTATATTGATATATGTGATAATGTTTTGAAAATAAATGAGTAACACCAAAAATGTTTGAAATGAGTTTGAAAAATTAAATTGATTTTTCTGAAAAGCCATGGATTTTCATTAAATCAAAGTGGGGCGTTACACTTTTCTCATCAACATTGTATTTTGTTGAGCTCGAATTTTCCGTAAAATGATACTAACCCAATTTTCAGAGTCGTCATCGTTTGAGTTACCATTTTCAGCCCGTGGGCCCCTCATGGCTCAACTTGGATATTAACAAGTACATTCCGTGGAGGTACGCTAAGTATACATGTATGAAAAACTCCACCATATAAGTCGAGTATGTCACAGCCTATGGGGCAGTAAATGAGATAGTTTCGCTCAGGAACATCTTGTTGAACTTAGAGGTGATTTTGAGTTTTCCACAGGATATGACAATTTACCGTGATAACAGTGGTGCAGTAGCAAACTCAATTGAACCACGAGCCCACAAGGTAAGTAAACACATAAAGCCCAAGTAACACTTGATACGAGAAATCGTAGGATGGGGAGACATCGAGGTTGCCAAGATTACATTATAGGACAACCTAGCTGATCCTTTGACGAAGTGTTTGTCGAAGGAGGTCTTCGTCCAACACGTGGAAGGAAAGGGAATCAGACATGTGGCGATAGGATAAGTGGGAGATAGTTAGTGCATATACATATAGCTTGGCTCAGAACACGGACCGAAAGACATACACTTGTAAAAGCAGAAGCTTAAGTATAAGTGGGAGATAGGTAGTGTATATACATATAGCTTGGCTTTGGATGTTATTTACTCTATTTCTATTGAATGCAAATAATGTTTGATTAAAGAAGTTCTATGTTCTTTTGTTTTGTATTTAGATAAAATGGTTCATCTCGAATGGACAAAATATCATTTTATCAGTCACTTGCGAAACAACAATGACTGGTTCACAACCTAGCTAGAAATGAACGAACCATCAAAACAATTGTTGTGTCAATCGTACAATTGATTTGTCTGATTAGTTGCACTAGTACATTTTTCTATTGAAAAAGATACCAAAGATGAGCAGTTCGTTTATACTTATCGTCGTAAACAAACTAGGCATCAGTTAATTGCTACATCCTTTTAACTCGTAAGATATAAATAGACATGTGTACGCAGTAGCTACTACATTGATTCACCAAAAGCATGTCGCATTATGCTGGGTCAATAGTCTTCATGTTTTGGGTAGTATTATGCATGTATGATGTGTTGTTAGAATATTTATTGTCACCATGTGCTATACTTTGATAATGTTCCCGAAGTAAGTTCACGAAGGATTATTATGTTAAACCCTGCAGGTGGATTAAGTTCTGATATAATAATAATAATGATATGCGTTTTCTCTAACTTCATTATAAGATGTCGATTTGTTCTTGATTGTCAGTAACTGAATTAATTGATGGATATTATATCTTAAACATGGGAATAGACATGTTCACGGGCCGAACCAACCCGTGAACCGATCCCGGCCCAGCCAGAACCGGCCTCCTAAGGTACGGTTCTTGGAACTCGACACATAGGGCCGCAGTTTGGTCCTGGTTCACAATATTTTTTGTCCCACCAGGCCAGGTCGGGCCGCGGGTTGGACGACGGGGCACAGTGTTATATTATTTTATTTAAGGGTCGTCCGGCCCGGAATCGCCCGAAACCCACCGGGTCGGTGAACAGCCCATATAAATTGGCGGGCCAGCCACAGGCTATGAGATTGAGGCCCGCTGACCCGGCAGCCGGGCCGGGTCGCGGCCCGACAATTGGCCATGTCTACATGGGGAGGTAATTCAGATCATTATTGTTGGAGTCTCGAATATAATTATAGAATGATAAGGGAGTGGAATAATGTTTTCTTAGTAGATGAAACATTATTATGTTAATGAGCAGAGTGGGCTTGGCCCACAATTAGGCCCATACTTAAGAAGCCCACGTCATTACCTCCTTAGGGTCCCTGCTACAGCCTTATCAATACACCATTTATCTCTTGGGATTGGACACAACAAACACACGCATAGGTGCGAGTTTCAGTAGGCCATAGTCCCAAGAGATCGGCTTTGAGCCTTGTTGCTCCATCGAGACACCTGAAGATGTGTCTGGTCATATAACAAAAGTCCTTGAGGTGCACGAGACCCTGGAGACCGTTTGAGAGCCACCGCACATGACCAACTATTAGCCGCGACCAACCGAGACACAGTCTCGGTGACCATTGCGCATAGCCCATCCACAGCAGCGACTCGCTCCCGTTCGCTAACGACCTCGATCTTCTCGTGAGCTCTCCCCGGTAACCAGGTGACCCGCACAACTGTGTGACCCGTCCACTCGCGTGAGTTTTCCAACGACCCTGAGATGTCCGAACGAGGCTATTTTCGCTGAGTGGAAATTGATTGATCTACATCACCAAAAATCTACAACGTCTTAGAGTCTGGAAGTTGTAAGTCGTAAGTGTTCAACTTTAAACCTTTAGCATCCGTTGCGAATTGGTTTATTATTGATTGTTTAATTCGTAACTTGTACTTAACGAGATTCTCGCCGGTCCCATCACTTTCTTGAGCTCACTTTTAGCATGTTTACAACCCAGTCATTCCTGGGATATGGTGACAGTAAACAATATCGACGGCACATTGTGCAGCCATATTACAAACCAAAATGTTGAGTCTGTCGACCAACAAGAATAAGTCACTCTCTTGATGAATCAAATAAATATTTGCCAACCACATATGCCCGTACATTATCATATGGGTTCAGAATATGCTTCAAATAATGAGGTCTTGATTATTTACTTGGTAAGTATAAAATAATCTTATCCTCTTGAGGGTCATTCAATACGTCCAAAATGTACTAGTGTAATCCATAGTCTAAAATTAACTAATTCCATGATTCTCACTACAATCATTCACTACCAGCGAGTTCAATTCCCGTTTAGATTGTGACACCAATCATTTATATTTTACAAAGAACAGATAATATGATCTTATTGTTCCAAACCCAAAATCATATTATTTACAGTGTAAAATAAAGGAACAATCTACACATTAATAAATTAAATGAATGCAAGAACTTGACTAAAACGTGGATTCTCATTCAAAATAGTATTGTCAGAAACTGAAAGCCAATCTTTTACAGTATACCCCGATACAACTTTCCACACACATGCGCCATGAACTATACATCTTAGGTATAACCAAAGCGGGCACAACATGTGGACTCAAGTTCTATCATATCATCCCACTCCGCAGAATCTCTTTCACCTGTCAATATAGCTCCTCATTCTCCTCTGGGCTCAAGTGACATTGCTGACAATTAAGAAGAGAGGTATTCGGAACCCAGTCTATATGATGTTGTATATCACGTAACGGTAGCAAGCCGCTTGGTAAGTCCTCTAGAATGAAATCCGCAAACTCTTGAAAAAACGGACGAACAAACATGACCACTTGCATATCTCGAGCAAACGCGGTGGAGGAATAAAACCGAAGAGCTCGTCGGAGTACATAACGAACAAGGCGGAGACAAATGAATAATGAGTTTGACTACTTTGAAGATAAGTCGTGGGTATTAAGGTGACCATCACGCAAAACCGAACGATCAAACAACCACAGGCGCCCTAACAGGAAATGATATGCATCTATAGGCACCACGTCACGCTAAGTCGCATCTTTATACACCACACCGATGGATAAAAGACCAACATGCGATGATCCACCATGAGAGAATTTCTTTGTTGATTCCATGCAAGCGTATAGGACTGATGATGTGGTTCACCCGACAGATTAAGTTTCTTTACGACCTATAATGTCGCTACATTCTCGCAGGAGCCGGTATCGATGATAAAGACGCATACCCACCCACCAACTATGTAAGTAGACTAAAATATATGGTTACCAACAAGATCATCGAAGAACAAGTGTCGGACCAACATCCTCGGACACATGTTCCTACTCCATAAGTGGCTCCTCATAAAAACGAGTGAATTCGCATACTCGAGTGAGCCTCATTCGCAAACAGAGCCCAGGAATGGCCCGCCTTAAGTCAGACTGCTTGGTGGTGTCCCGGCTCAACGCAATCAAAACAGTGCTTCCCGCCGACAACTAGCGCGAACGGACCGAACAGTAAGAACAACAGATTTCGTCGCATGCTGCGGCAGCTGCTGCTTGACCAAAATCACCCATTGATGCGCATCCGTGATAGAGTCTTGAACAAACAGATTCAACGTATCCTGAATGGGGACATGCAAGCCAACAATATATTGTCACATAAGCTATTTCTCCATTTCATGCACATCAATGCATGTGAGAAACTGATAAAATTCATAAGTGAAGTCATTAACCGAACACGTACGCTGACATAGATTTTGCAATCATTGATAAAGGGTATGCATAATTAAATGGCAAAAACTCATGTTCGATTTTTTCAACTAAGCCCATTTCGTGAGCTTCGACTTTCCCTGGTGATGACGCATGGCTTTGAGTTGCTGACACCAGGCGGCCGCTGGCCGCACAGCCGTGTCGCAGCGAGGGGACACGACGGTCATTCCACACCTCCTTGTAATCGAGGACATTCTCGACCAAGGCCAACTAATCCCGGAAATTTAATGCAATCAAGTCGCCAAAAAACTCGAGGATATCAACCATGAAGATGTTAGAGGTATGCTGCAAAAGCTATGTTTTGCAGATCCTATCAATTCCATTTTGATCTGGCAATCATGTTTCGGTCAAAGTACATATGTTTGCAGTTTATTTATTATGCAATACATATTCCATGTCTTATATTGAGGTTGTGTGGTTTGAAGAGTTTCGAACAGAAAGATCACCTATCGGTTCCTTATAAGACAAAACTATTCATTCACAGTCTAGACTGGCAGTGAGACCCCACTTGGAAAAAGACTGTAGTGTATTCTCGATTCAGTTGGTCTTTGACTGAAGGATTACACTAGCACTTATGTTAAATGTTGAACAGGATCACGGAAGGATAAGGATATGAAACTCACTGACCGTTGTCGTAACCTAGACCTTCAGTGATTGATGCGTTCTCTTAAGCTGTAAGATAATATAAAATAAGCATATATTTTTATTTCTTATTTATTTAATTTACCAAGTGATTCTATTTTAATAGGACGACATACGAGGTATTTTGGTAAGTAAGAATAATTTTATGATGTGCTATTATAAATTATTTACGGTCACTATGTTCCAGTGCGCTGGATTGATGACATCCCCGAAATAAGCTCAGGAAAGAACATTATGTTAAACCCTGCAGGTAGACGATTGTCTGACATAATGGTTAAAGTCTGAGTGGTACTAATTTCGAAAATGAATAAGAAGTTGATTAATTATTTTGTCAGTAATTTAATTAATCAACAGACGTTATATCTTAAACATAGGGAGGTAAATCGATCAATTGGATTAATATTATTTAATCATGGAGGCTCGATTTTATTGGTAAAATAGTGGCTAAATGGGGAGAGCAATAATATTACTCTAGTGGGATGTTTTATTGTTTAATTTTATTAAATAGGAATTAATTTTATTCCATATTAATTAATTAATTAGGAGAATAAAATTCCTAATAGAATCTTCTCTTGGGATTAGGAGACTTGGGAGTCTTTTAGAAGATGGAGATTAGTAGGAAATATATTTCCTACATTATATTATTAATTGGAGTAAAATTAGCTTTCCTAAATTAGGAATTAATTTTATTCCATGGTTATTTATTTAATTAGGAAAGATCTTCCTACAAGGATCTTCTCTAGTGTTAGGAGACTTAGAAGTCTTCTAGAAAGGAGGAGATTAATAGGAGATTTCCTTCCTATATTAAATTAGTATTGGAGTAGAATTATGATTCCTAGGCCTAATGGAATAAGCCCATATTTAGCACCTCCTTAAGGTCCCTAATGGAGCCTATAAATACACCATGTCCCGACCTCTCCTACAATGATGTATTGGCCGATTTTTCTCTACTACATACACGAGAGAATTACATCGTTCGAGAGTTAGAGAGATTCGATTAAACGCTCCACCAAGTTTAATCGAAATAGGTGTTTAGGTAATCCATTAGAAGGCTTTTTGGTACAATATATTGAGCTTTCTAATATATATATTTCGGTCA